AAAGAAGAAAGCATTAATTTTAAATTTGGTGTATCTGCAAGGCACTACGGAAAGCTATTTGATCCCACACTATGGCCAATACTAAAATACGCCCGTTTGATTTTTTACCAAAAACGCCAACTGCTACGCAAGCAACTTAACAAATTCATTGAAAGCGAAAGTTAAATCCAGTCTCAGAATTTACTTTAAAAATATGTCTGAGGTTAGAACCAAAACGCACATAATTCGCTCTTTTAGTTCGCAGCTCACCTACGATATTTATGTCTTTGTTGAGACTTAGTAGACGTCGGATTTTTATGACCACGAATACTTCGATGCTAATTTATGTACCGTTTACCGTAAAGATCGTAATGCTGTCAAAACAGACTGCACTAGAGGTAGTGGAATACTAGTTGCGGTCCGTCGTGTGTTTCGCTCCTCAGTTGTGGCGCTTGAAGACAATGATTCAATCATAGACCAACTATGTATTCGCGTCTGTGGAGCGTTGAACCCACTTTTTGTGTGTGCTTCCTATATACCGCCGAATAGTTCTTTATAGGTCTCGTCTAAATAATATAAGTGCTCTAGCTGTGTCTATTACTTTTTGAAAAACAACTTTGTGTTCTTGGAGACTTTAATTTGTGTAATGTTAATTGTTCGTATATGTTTCACAATGTTAATTTAACGCATTCTAATGTCGAATCTCCTTCTAAGATCTACTTTATAGATGATATTCTTGCTCTTGAGCTTATGCAAATCAACGGCTTTTGTGATAAGCTAAATAGATTCTTAGACCTTATATTTATCAGTAAAAATATGAACTTTAATATCTCCGAATGCTTAACGCCAATAACACCCTGTGGCATGCATCACATTCCAATAGTACTTAAACTACAATTGTATCAATATAATAAATTCTCTCCACATATACGACTTTGTTTTAATTTTAATTCTTGCGACTTTATCGCTTTCAACGAGCTCTTACTCTCCTATGATTGGGATCAGTTACTTTTTAACCTCAATGTTGCCGATAGCTATAACATTTTTAGATATAAAATTACGGAACTTTGTCATAAACAGATCCCAAAACGGCAAATAAACTCTTATAAGCAGCCATGGTACAATAGAGAACTGAAAAGACTAAAAAACCTGAGGAACAAATTCTATAAAAAGTTTAAAGCTTCGAAAAGTGCCGAAGATTATCTTAATTTTCAGCGCTATACGAAGAAACTTATCCCCTTATTCTAGAACCCGAATTTTCGTAATTCGTAATTCGGAGCTACGCTACGAAAAACGAAAAATCCACATGCTGCAACCCTTGCGGAAACATGTGAAGCATTGCCAGCTATCAGTTGTTTTTCGAAGATAGCTGAATGAAGGGAAACAAAGTGGAAAGGAATTAAAAAAAAAACACTCATCATGTGCTTGTTTATTGTAAAATTGGTTAATTTTACATATTTTGAAGAAGATGATGGATCCTGATGCATTTGCAGTTATAGCAGCAGAGTAAGAGGGTGCTATGGCAATGGATTCACAAAGTTGTGCGGGTCGAGCATAATAACCATGGTCGCATCTATGTCAGCATCTGGTTGAATTGTTGAACCACAAGCCAGAACTCCTCCTATGCCTGAAGAACTGGTTCCCAATCCAGTTAGAGCAATAACAGCTTCTTCCAAGCCATTGACAACCTGCATTTTGTTAGGTTCACCACCTGTTGCGCTTGCTTCTGCCTTCGGCCACGCTTAGGGATGATAACTCATACTAAGCAGAATTCTCCTTTCTGTGTGGTCAGAGAAGAGGCACTTCCGCATGTCAAAAGTATACAGTATTTCTTGTGCATATCACGGTATTTTCGCGCAGAACCCACATCGAATTTATTAATAATTTGAAATATTTATTTTAAATAAAATGTGAATCCTTTAATTACACGTGTATGTTAAAGTTTTTGGATTGCGGTTATGCGTTTGGACACAACAACCGAAAATCGTTGTACAAATAACTAAACCGGACCCAAGTTACTCGATAAGGGGCAACAAAGATTCTTGCTTGCTCGTTTATATAAAGTAGTGGATAAAAATATACGTATATGCGAAAGACAATTTTATCTGTTTAAATAAACACCACTAATATTTCCTGCAAACGCACATAGATTTACATATTTTATCTCACCTCCGACACAGAATTGTTTTTGTACAAAATTACGCAAAAAAGCTTACTCGTTCGTTTTTAGGCATGCCACTGTTACGAATTTCGAAAGTTCGAAGATATGATTCAGATTGCAGCATACCATTTCTACGATTCGTAGCAAAATACGAAAGTTTTGCAGAATAGGGGTGTTAATTGTCTCGAGAAGTTCCTTTATCGGAATTTTACTTTAAACTTTGAAATTAGTATTAAACAAAATCCAAAAAATTTTTTTGGAGTTTCATTAATTCTAAAAAAACCTGGTCCGCAATTCTATCTACGGTCTTTTTCAAAGATAGAACTGCATATGCTCTTAATGATGCGGTTAATTTATTTGCTGAGTACTTTCAAACAAATTTTGTCCCTGATAGCACATCAGATTTGTCTGTTAACTCTTCATATCACTCCCCCTCCTCAGTAAATTTCGGCTCTCTTGATCTCTCCACTGATGAAGTTACGAATGGTATACGACAACTCAAACTATCGATGCTAACGGATGTTGACCGTCTTTCATCAGTTCTATTCAAAAATTGCCCTGCCCTCGCTAATCCTATAAAATCAATTTCTAATAAGTCTCTTGCATCTGCCACTTTCATTGATGCGTGGAAATTAGCTACAATCACACCTATTTTCAAAAATGGAAACAGGAGTGATATATCTAACTATAGACCCATATAGAAACTGTCCCTTATACTATGTTCACGTTGAGCCTTTAACTCGAGTTTATGGGCCATTTTGGAGTTAAGCGGTTAACACTACTCATTAACTCGGAGTTTGCCATACCAAAAATTTTCGTTTAACTCGCCTCAAACACCACTTTTATTTGTAGTTAAAGCGAATGCAACCCTATTTTTTGCCCGAATTTGGTTTGTGTCTCTGCATGGTTGTCAAACTTTGGCCGCACTAGTATACAAATTTGTCCGCACTGTCGAATTTTGACATTTCACAATCATATGTTTTGCTGTTTTTATATGAAGTGGAGAATAGCTGTTTGCGTGAAATTTGGTAAGTTTGTAAGAAAATTGCAAAATTTAACATTAATATGACATTTAAACTTGTATACATAAAAACAACAATATCATAGAATGGAAATAATCTTTCGGACAGGTTTGCAAAGTTTTCGCGAGCAGTAACACCGGTGTTTTGTATAGCAGAATGGAACGTGCAGAAAATATAGAAACCTCGGCGAGAAATAGGCGCAAGAAGAGTTTTTGGGAAGGCGGGGCAGAAGCTTGCTTTGTGGAGTTGTGGGCCCAAAGGTACAGGTAAGATAAAAACATGGAATATAATAATTAAGAAACATGCATACATACATGTATGTGTATTTGTGCAGAAAATGCAAGGAATCCATTGGGCCTTCAGTAGGTTCGCCGGCGCAGTGGCATCTTTACGAGGCAGTGCACAGAATAATCGGAGGTCACAGAATCAACAACGTTGACGTTGTCGTAGAGGAGAGCATTCAAAGTGAATATTAATTTGTTTATTTAATTTGTGCTAATATGTTAGCAGAATGCGAATAAGCGAAAGTAAATAAACAAACGTCAAACTAAACTCGGAGTTTATTAAACACCCCAACGAGAACACTTGACAGTTGTTCATTAACTCAAAACGTTAATCTCGGGTTAATATTTCAACGTGAACATAGTATTATCTTCAAATTCTGGGAGTGCATCATGAAGAATAAGCTCTATTTTCTTGTTAATCATCTTATTTGCCCTAATCAACATGGGTTCGTGACTGGACGTTCTACTACTTCGAACCTAGCAGTTTTCAGTGAGTACTGTATTTCTTCTTTACAAAAGGGTTTTCAGGTCGATTCAATTTATACTGACTTCTCAAAGGCATTTGACAAAGTGTCCCATAATATACCTATCCACAAGTTATCTCTGTTTGGCTTTCATTCGTGTATTATTAATTCGTTTAAGTCCTATCTGTGTAATAGACAATGTCTTGTCATGCTATATAATGTCTCGTCGGTTCCTTTCACAGCTACATCTGGTGTCCCTCAAGGGAGCATTCTGGGTCCGCTTCTCTTCCTACTATTCATTAATGATATTGGCAATTGCTTTTCATTTGCCAATTACCTGTTATATGCTGATGATCTTAAGTTATATCACACCATCGCTAATGTAGATGATATGCACAAGTTCCAGCGGGATATTGACTGTCTGTATGCTTGGTGCGTAAAAAATCGTTTAAGCCTCAATATTTCGAAGTGTTTTCAGATCTCTTTCTCTAAGTCATCTAATGCGTATAGTTCTTCATACAACATTTAAGGGATTCCCTTGAATGTTGTTTTTGAAACTAAGGATCTAGGTGTTATTTTCGACTCCAAGATTACCTTCAAAAGTCACATAAATTCGATTAATGCGGAATCTTTTTCAATGCTGGGTTTTGTTCGTCGACATGCCTCTGAATTTTCAAACCCCTATACGCTGAAGCTTTCATACACTTGCTTCGTCAGATCTAAATTGGAATACCGTTGATTGAATTTAATAATCTTGATCGACCCCCTTATTTTAGAACCCGGATATTTCGTAATTCGTAATTTGTAGCTACGCAACGAAAAACGAAAAATCCACATGCTACAACCATTGTGGAAACATGTGCAGCATTGCCAGTGATCTATTATTTTTATTGCCCAAATAATAGACATAAGAACGATT